AAGAATCTTCTTTTATCACTGTTGAAATATCACATTCAAAATTCTGTACTCTCTGGAAATTATAACAAAGATATACAACTTCAATTTTTTTTCTGTGTGCTATGCACAGGAAGGATATTTTCAAAATTTTGCAGATTTTCAGCAAGTTTGGATTAGTAACTTTTGTTTAGTGAATCAGTGGTATGAATGAAGAGATTATTGGAAATGCGAAGTGTACAAACTTCAGACAAGTTCATGGGCAACATATAATATTTTCTGATGAACAACAAAGTTGATTTTGGGGTACTGCCTTGTTCTTAATAGAATTGCAACAGAAGTACAGATGAATGTTTCATATTCACATGGATTTAATCTGAAATCTTCTATCTGTATTATGTGAAAAATGAAGTAGAATAATCTTTGTAAAAATAACCAAAATAGTGTATAAAATATTTTGGTAGTTTTCCAGTTTGTTTCTCATTTGAAATTCGGCCGCTAGATTCTTTATGTATTTCTCTGGATATAGAAGTTGTCAGAATTTAGGTTATATGACATTTAAGCCTCTGAGAACCTTTGAGCTCGCAATATGTTGTAACAGTATGTAGCATGTACTGTCACATGCCAAGAAAAACCAAATGACAAACCCTAGGGTGTCATTTAGTGTTACACCAAAAAGATGGCCAAGACATGAATCTAAGGGTTGCTAAGCCATTAAGGCATTACTTATCTAAATTAAGCTCATATACCAATTAAAACAGGAAATAATGTCTCCAGAACTTGCATTTATTTATAGCTTGCTGTGGACAAACATATTGGCTTTATTTTCTCTGCAGACATGAAAAAATGGTGTATTAGCTATTAGTTTCTCTGTACACCATGCTCCACAGTGTTGGCTGTTGAATATTTGATATATTAATACATATTTATATTCTCGAGTTTGGGCAGTGATTGTAAAGTCAGGCAGATTTAGTGCCTAAAATAGTTTATAGCCTCAGAGAAAAGTGTCAGTATAAAAATAATCATTTTGCCTTAGTTCCTTACACACAGTATTTTTTTCTTTCTGAAATCAAACCTGAGTAGAATAAGAAAACAATCACAATTTTAACCTATACCCTGTCTATTCTAAATCCCTATACTAATAACATAAGAACAGAGATGCAGATATTTCATACTTACGAAATATATTTTGAAATATTTCTCTTCTGCTTTGTCGATAAATATAACAAGATATAACTGAGACTATCACAATGAATATTCACCACTGTATATTCTGAAGTGGCAGCTTTTAGTTTAAAAGCCATCATGGCTGCATGTAGTTTAACTGCTACTCATGACTTTTTTAAATTTTTGAGATAGTGCTTCATTTTAACAAGTAGACTGAAATATGTGTTTTTTACTTGGATAATGATATATAGAATCATTTGTGATTCTCTCATTCAATGGCAGGGACTGCAAGTGTTTAAAAAAGATACCCAATGCAATATGGTAGACAGAGTTGATATGAATATTCACTTGCCTGTGCACTTCATCTTTCTCTGAACACTGACCAAGGAACTATATATTTTATCTACCTTGAAGTCACTAGTACTCTTCTATGCAGGCTGGAGAGAAAGAAGGAGCGCTCTCAGCGGTAATAGTAACACTGTGATGCTCAAGGCAAGTCTGCTTTCAAAATCAAAGGGGGTCTGAGTAATTATTGCTGAACTGTAGAAATCTGATTATATACAAGAGACAAAGGATAGAAACTATGGCAGTAGTGAGTCTTACCTGCAGTGGTCTCATGCAGCACATCTTGAACTGGTTTAAACTTCAGTTTCAACTGCACTGAGTTATTTGGGTCAGTTTTAATTCAGGATGCCCTGGAGACAATCATGACTCTTGATGGAAATTATTATGAATAATGGGTCTATTTGACTATAAGTAGAAAATATGTTCCCTGTTAAATTACTCTGTCACCCCAGGCAAGAATATTATTCTCCCAGCTTTTTCCTGTGACCTTCTTCCTTTTTCTCCTTATGTGCTTCCTCCAAGGGCTGCTCTGTCTCTGGTTTACCTCGTTTTATGGCTCCCCTGATGTCTACATGTTGCATTACAGAAGTTGGAAATTATCACAGTCCCTTTTTCTGTTTTGGGTTTAGGCTATATAACTAAGGAGGGTCTCTCCTTGGGGAGGAGAGGAGGGCCAAGCAGGTGCTGAATATTTATTATTTTATTCTTGCTTAATAACCCCCCCCCCCAAAAAAAAAGATGTAGGAAGAAAGATAAATGGCCACCCTTTGTGTAACACCTGTTTTCTGACATAGTCCCATTATCACTTAGAAGTAATTTGGAGGTACCTTGCTGTACAAACATTACATATCATCCTGGAAAGAAAATATGCCACTAGATCATGGTGTGTTTATTTGTTTCCTTTTCGCTGTGTAATGCATGGGGCCTCAAGATCAGCATTAAACAAGATACAGGAATTTCTGGAGGTCTCTATAAGGACACATTGTTGACTAAGAACCTAAAAATCTATTGATCATTCATGCATTGCATAAAAGTGGCACAATTAGAGTGAAGAAGTAGATGCTTCCAAGGCTATTTTATTAAGTGTGGTTTTGTGAAATTTTAGAAATTGTTACAATTTCACCTCCCAGTTCCTCATGTTGAATAGTAGAGTTGAATACCACGTGTAAAATGTTCTTTAATTTATTGATATTGACCAGTGTAACCTTGTGGTAGAATCAAATATCAATTTGAAACCATGTGAAAATAGTTCAATAAGTGCTGTGTACAACTTGTTAGTTTAATTATTGATACAAAGACTTAGACCAGTTAATATTCTTAACTATGATGAGAGAAACCAAGGTCAAAGAGGAATTAGCTTTTTGCCACATGTGATGAGGAAAAGGAAGTTCAATCTTATACAATTTAATGCCACATAAATTATTCTTTCTAATAAACTTATGCTGAAACTCTAAATTTCATAAAATTCAGAAAAGAATTGTGAGCCTTGTCATAATATAATGGTTATGGCACAGTAACATCTTCCTTCATGTCTTTTCATCAATTTATTGTTATTAAGGGATTTTAATTATTTCATTGTGAGTGAATTAATGCCTTTACAGATTTGCTCCTGTGTGTCACTTATAATGCTAAGGTTAACTACAGAAGCTGTGGATTATTCATATGAGATGATGTCAAGATCAGTTTTGACTGGATATAGAAGGGCAAATTCAAGTATCAAAAACTCCTGACAGGGACAGTCAAGCTCCTCAAGCCTATTACAACAGTGCACTAAAAATCTTCTTTGCTATATAAAGAACTGCATCAAATATATATAGATAATTGAGAAAGTATTTAATCTGAAAACCCATAATTATAAATGATAGGATAAACTCTTCTCATTTCTGAATGCATATTATGTCAGATTAATTTTTGAAAGATGTGATTTTTTTCTTCACAGTTATACTGATAAAAAAGCATAAGCATTTAGTTTTCATATTTCTGGATTAAGAATCAGAAAGGCATGAAAAGACTGTCAACTAAGAACAGAGTTTTAGCGATGACTATTTCCAAGCTTTCAATCAAACGTTTATTTTTCAAACATCAGCATGTCTCCATATATCATTAAGATATCTACTGCCAAGTGTTTCTCTGTTCGTATGTACCTGGGAGAAAGTTTATTTCTTCATGTCAGCAAGAGAAGACACTTGAAAAATTGAAATGCTGTCAACTATAACTTCAAGGTTCTATATATTGATACATATATATATGTATTTCCTAAATCCAGTGTTTACCATTATTATTGTATTATAATAATTCTTACAATTCCAGTGCTAGCAGTGGAATTAACTATCTACCTCCAAAGACTGTACAGAATGTAGAATGTGAGTAAATGTTGAATATTTATTTTCTCATCCTAATATACAGTTCTGTACTAGGCCACAGAATAAGCTACTTCATTTTTCACCGCTTATAATGGCATTTCAACAAGAAACTACCTACTGTGGTTAGGACCCCTTTACCCCTTCCACCTATGTCCAGCCTTCTAAAAGTTCAGCATAAGATGGTTATCTAGAAAAATTCTTATGTCAGTCAGATAGGAACACACTTCTGAGGAATGATTCCTCCTATTCCTAAGTGATGAAAATGAGCAATACCCAAGATGTGAAAAACTTTTTTTCCAAAGTCTGTTACAAATTGACTGTAGTCAGAATCTGTACAAGACTCATGAAATGATATGCTGAAGACATAATGAATAAAATGAATACCATAGAGGTCTAACTCTGAAACTTTTATAGAAACAGTTGCATTGACTTTAATTTGTTTTTTCAGAGTTTACGGTAAAACTTCTAACATTTCTAATTTTTCCAAAAGTCTGTAACAAAAATTAAATGTAGATTTTTGGAAGGGAAAAACTGAAGTGTGAGATGAGTCTATAGCATAAGTCTGACATTTGATTGTTTAGATCTATATATATTCTGTTTTGGGAAGGACAGCAAGACATCCATATTTTCCACATTGGTATTTCAATTACGGTGATTCAGAAGTGGACAACATGTGCAAATAATCAGCAGGGGCCTGACTGCAAGCATTTGAATGACTAAGTTCCCTGTAGGGTCCGTGCTCTATAGGTAGTTCTCAGTTTATAAAGTTAACTACACACAGCAGGGATATTTACCTTTTGGAGCTATATCTTGATGCAGTCATTTTCGCATAGGCTAATTACACCATAAACCTATATCTAAAGTTATACAAAAGATTAGATGCCAGCCATGGCACTTGAATGTTGTCCTAATTATGTGCATTAGCTAAATAAATAAGCAAACTTGTGGTATCTATAAGCGTATCATATATAACATGTAACAACAATAAAAATTAACAATTTTTAACAATTACCTTCATGATTTGCTAAGTATCAATGAGTGAAATCAAATTCAATGAAAATGTCTTTCAAGTGAAGAGTGCTCCACTTGTGTTATTTATTTTACTATTCTCACAGATTCAAAGACTGTTTCCCTTTCTTCTCTCCATAGGAAATGATCTGTTTCTAGTTGCTGTGCATGAACTGGGACATGCTCTGGGCTTGGAGCACTCTAATGATCCCACAGCAATTATGGCTCCTTTTTATCAGTATATGGAAACTGACAACTTCAAACTACCTAATGATGATTTACAGGGCATCCAGAAGATATATGGTATGTCTCGTTTTAATTAGGAAACTTGAACATTTTCACTTAAGAATGGTTGAGAATCTCCTGTTCACACCATCTCTAAAAAAAAAAAAACTGTTGGGGCATCCTCTGCCACTTGCTGTCCCAAAATCTTCTTTCTGTGATGGCCAAAGATTATGGTGAATCTCTTTTGCTTGGTTACTTTTACTTGGTTTTACTTGGTTTCTAACTGTTCATAATTTGCATTCAAATTTGCACTCAGCTGGAATGGTAATCTTAAAAGTTCTAAAAGACCGTAAGGAAAATATCTGCGAAAGGATTCTGATCTTTTAAAATATTAAGGCATGCAAGTTTCAACCATAGTGAGCTTATTTCTGAAGTACTAAAAACACATACAGTAGTATGAATTGACTACTTCTCAGTTATCAAATGATTGGGAATAATCATTAATTATAATTGACAATATAAATATAATCAATAATTAAATAGTTCCCTGAATAGATCGATTTTGAGGTCTAAAAAAACCCTTCGTTGTAACAAGTATAGAAATGAATTCTGCATGAACTTGAGAAGGCAGAGTAACTGAAAATTGTAAACGAAACCAAACCAAAGCAATACCTTTATTCTGTCTATGGACTGAATCTAAGATTAATACCTGTATTATTGTTTCTGGCATTTCCAAAGCCATAATTTTATTCCTGATTTTTAAAAACTGATTCTGTAGATATTTATGAAGCAGTTGGAAGTTTTTGTTGTTGCTGTTTGATTTGTTTATTTTAATATACATTTCCCTACAATGAAAGAACTGTTCTGCCTCTATCTATATTGAGATATCTGTATAGTCTATTTATGCCATGCATCCAGTATGTATAATTTGGACCTACCTTGTTTAATATTCTCCAATTCATTTTGTATCAGATTTAGTTTTGTGCTCAAGGTTTCTTTCAGTTTAGAAGCTAAACTGAATATTATTAGGTCCATTCCTTACTCATCTGTACTGCTACGATGGCCACCTACGTTGGTAGAGAAAAACAGTACTGCTAATTAGAACTTTCCTACCACTGTTTTATGTTTTATATTAACAAGCTTTTAAAATATCATATTAGCAAGCACTGATATATGTTTTCATAAAGCTTAAATAGTAGTTTAAAAATGATTGGCTTAGCAAGTTTTTTGTTGTTTTTTCCTGTGTGATTAGCTAAAGGGAAGGTTGTTTCTCATGAGCTCAGTTGGTAGTCTAGACTTAAAGGCTAGACACCAATACTTTGCCAAAAACTAACCACTAAGCTCTAACAGCTGTGGGCTATACATTTGGAGAAGTGTGTTACCCATGGGAAGTAATATCTGACATCACTAGCAAATAGCATACAAAAACTTTGGTTTGGGGTTACAATCTTTCCAACATTTGCTACTGCACACTGATTCCTTTGCTCCCTTTAAAATGAAAAGATGATTGGGAATCGTATGACAATAAAAATGTCATACCTATTAAAATAATTACTTTGATCTGCAATTTTCCTCCAAACACCATTATTCACTGCAAATTATAAATGCCACAAATTTTAAAACTGTGAATGAAATAAATGCTATTAAATTGGATGACAACCATTCACGGAGTTTACCATTTCCTTATATAGTCAATATTTTTTCTCAGAAAACTATGCTTATTTTGAATAAATACCAGAAATTCAAAGGACATTTATGCAGTTTTAGGGTTTTCTTATTGTTCAAATGTCTTTCTGAACCTAGTCATGCAAATTATGTTTATATTTTGAAATCAAAATTGATTGTGTATTTAAATGATTTGAAGGCACGGCAAAATAGAATGAGCTAAATTAGCACATTCATCTTGTTTCCAGAAATATCACTGTTCCAGTGGGAGCTTCCTATCTCTTTATACATAGAAAACATGAGTAAATGTAGTAATACACATTGAAAGGGAAAGATAAACTGAAATGAAAGTAAAGCATTATGCCATTAGAATTATAAAAAGCATTTGCCTGAGAAGGCCCTTTGACTTTTGAACAGAGAAATTATGAGTGGGACACTTATTTGCCATCAATTCCTTGCATATTATGAACAAAAATGTGCTTGCTAGAAGAAAAAGGGTTTTAAAATATTATACAGTTAGTTTTAGTTTTAGTTTTTAATTTTTTTTTAGTTATTCCATTTCAATTTATCTTCAGAAACTCTTTTAATCACTAGGTGTCTAGCTTTGTTAAAATCTCTGACAAATGGAAATTTAAAATTAGACATAATTAATTTAACTTTGAAGAAAATTTGTGAACTAGAGTCTTTGTTTATGTGGATGCCTGTGATTTGAATTCCAGTTTCAAGAACATTTAGACATAGCAAGGAGTATTGTGGAAAGCTAGGAATGTATCCTGAAAAAGATACTAATATGCCTACAAATTGGGTCAGCAGTAATTATATAGGTATATACAGGCATATGTGAATTGATAGGTAGAAGAAAAAAGATGACTTGAAAACATTGGTTGACGATGTTTTGATTAGGAAAGGGTTCATTATTTCATAAAATAGGCAATGATTTGGTCTTAAAATTTCTGATTCAGTTGGTATGCAATGAATTACTTCTCATCTGAAATGATAGTGGAATGTGCATCCTTTGCAGATTTTTGGAAAGATGATACTGAATATTGAAAAATAATTATTTTCTTCATTAATGCCTTAGTTCTGTAGCGCACCTTCATTATACCCTTTAACAACGTGGGAGTGGCAGATCACTTTTTTGATTTCCCTTCCACTGGAGGTTTCACACTGCTTAGTTTTTTTGTTTGTTTCTTTCATTCCTTTTTCTATTCCTTCTTGAAATGTCACTGATCGGCAAATAAATTACATCTTGCTGCCATTTTTAAAGGTCCACCTGACAGGATCCCACCACCAACAAGACCTCTGCCAACAGTGCCACCTCATCGTTCGATCCCTCCAGTAGACCCACGGAAAAATGACAGACAACCTAAGCCTCCCCGGCCACCCACTGGTGACAAGCCTTCCTATCCTGGGGCCAAACCTAACATCTGTGATGGGAACTTCAACACTTTGGCTATTCTTCGCCGGGAAATGTTTGTTTTCAAGGTAGGAGGCTGTGAATTTTTCAGTGTTACTTCAACTGTCTGCATTTATTCTTCTTTTTTTTTTTTAAAAAAAAAAGCAAGATCTCATTCACCATGACTGCACTTTCCCAGCCTTCTCGCAGTTAGAAAGTTTGAGAAAGAAATTAAAAAGTAAATATACACATGGTTTAAACATCTAGCAGACGGCTGCTGTAATGTTCTAAATTGGGAAAATGCACATGTCGGCAGAAACTGTAATGCTTCAAAATGTAAAGGTAAATAAATTCTGCATGTTATGAAGAGATAAAAAAGCATAACTCATAAGTAGGAGGTGGCAAGAATGACTCTGTTGGGAAAACAGCCACGTCCAGACATATAGTAGATACTGTATGTCTTTAATTCTGTTTTGTTTTTATTTTGACTGGAAATAAAATATCAGATTTACAATTAGGTCAGTCATTTAAAAAGGAAGTACCTAAATAAAGTCTTTGTCACAAAAATACATAAAAATTTACTGCAGGTGTGTTATTCCCTATTTCCATTCATATTCTATCTCTAAGCTGATACATGCAGTATATGCAACAAACTGAACTAAACAAACTGAACTGAAGAGCAGCCTTTTGATAAAAGGTCTTTGCTTGGGCTCATGAGCATCAAAGCCATCTTAGGAGAATGATCTAGGATATTGTATCCAGAAGGCAATCAGTGTTGAAGAGTAATTACAGAATCCTTATTATTCAGTGTCTTAAAACAACTTGCTGACAGATTTTGCAGTGCAAACATTCTGGAAACGTGCAACAGTATGATCTCTTATTTTGAACTTTTTGTGTGCCAGATGTGCTTCAGCAATAGGAAGTGTAGGACCTTTGTTTTGTAAATCTTGACATGATTCAACATGAGTGGATTGCAATTTTTTCTTCTGCAAGTGTATATGAATTTGTCCTAAAACAGGAAGCTCCAAGTTCAACGTTTTTTGTTGGTCTTTCTGAGGGGATCCATTTCCCTCATAATATGTTTTCTTCTTATGTGCGTTATTGCTCCAGATTAATCTCTTTAGCAGCACCATCTGGGTTCTTACTGTCTTTAGGATACCTCAAGAAGATATTTACTGATAGCCTCACATGAATTCATTCAAACTTACTGAGTTACCTTCACAACTCAGTGAGCAGGATTTTTTTTTTTAATTTTATTTTTCCCATGAAGATCTAAGGATTTTTCCATCCCTGGGAATGTCAGACCTTTTCATTTGCTTCATCTTCAAACTCCAGGAGGTCCTGAATCATCAGTCTTTTATGACTAAAACTCAAAGGTTAAGAAAGAATCTAATTTTCTAACTTGACGTTAAACAGGATATTAAACTACCTACTTCAATCTCATATCATCCTCCTCAAGAGCAATAGAAAATACTGTCATTTATTTTAGACATAAATCAATAAATAGTGAAATGCTATCCCACTAACACAGAATTTCCTGTCTAGCCAAGTCTGTGTACCTGGAAAAATAACATTGACCATCATTAGTGATCACTCTTTGCTGATTGAAAAGACTGTACTTTCTTCAAAAAGCATTAGCTGCTTATTGACCTAACACTGTATGTTTACTCTATCACATATATGCTTGCTAGTGTGCAGACAGCCTATTTGTTCTAACAGCTAAAACTTCATTCATAATCCACACTGGAATGAGGAAACATGGACAAATATTAGAAAGAAACAACCAGAATCAGAGTGTGTACAAGCTTTATGTTTAGAGACTGACTCCAAAATTAGGTTGTTATTTTCTTAAAAGCAAAGTGTTAAGAAGAAAAGAAAAAGATAAAATTTCTCCAGGTTAATTTTTTTAAGAGTCCAGCAGTCCCTTAAAATAACATCAGAGTATCTGGTAGTATGGCAAGGCTTAACTTGGGTTCTCATGCTAAGCAGTAGAATTTAGTTAAGTATAAAAATCCTTACTTTGTAGTCTGAGTGTCTTTGAATACTTGCATTAGTAGGCTTTAACTTTCTGGTTCAGAAAATAATTTTCTAAGGAAGATTTTGGTCTACTAAAGCAGCTAACTGTGGATTTATTTTTCTTTTTTTTTTATTATTTTTCTTTTTTTGTGTGTGTGTGTGTGTGTATTCTGGTGTTTTGGTTTATCTGGTAGGTTGTTGGAATTTTTTGTTGCTGTTGCTCTCTTGTTTGATTATTTGGTTTGTTTTTGGTTTTGTTTTTTTATCTGTTTGTTTACTTTGCATGACAAGGAGCATCAAGGGTGCAGGTAAGGGAAGAAATTGGATAAGTCAGAGATGGTTCTTATTTTACTACTTTTCTTTGCAGATGTCAAGGAGAGGGAGAGCAGGTTACAAGTAAAAGCTGAGCACATCAGGCTTTAGTAGAATAACAGGAATTCATTTTCGAAAGGTATAAACTGAAATAAGGAATGAATTAAGAGAAAGCATCCAGCAATGGAGAAAGTGAAGCTGGGATTTCTGTGCTCTAACACAACAGAAAAGATCAACCTCCTTGGTCTTGCCCCTTAATGCTAGTATGAAGAAAGTCGGGGAAGACACGGGAGATGAGATAAAAGCCAGGTAGAGGAGAGGTGGAGAAGAAGCGGGGATTGATGGTAGTACTGTACCAGGTGGAAACAATTAAAGAACAGTTATGACCTCCAGTGGAAGAATTATTGCAGGATAGTTCCCAAATGAGTTAAAATTAATAAAGTTGAAGGCTAATCAAATTATATCCTTTGCTTTCTTCCTCTTTATCCACAGGTTTGCAATGACTGTGTAGTTGCAAATTTTACTGCTTTCTGAATGGTATGTGTGCTCCGTATGAATTTCGAAATTAAAATAGTGAATATCTCATGAGCCAGTCTCAAGATCAGATGCTCAATTTGTTTAAATAAGCCTTGAAATTGTTTGGGAGCTTAGCCATAGAGTTGAAGAATGCAAGTCGTCTGAATAATTAAATTCTAATTTGAACATAAAATTGAAGCACAGAAGATGACACTTAGAGATACATTGTGGATTTTTGTAGTAGATGACAAACAATATTAATTTCTATAAGACTAGAAGGATTTCTAGAAGGAAAAATGAAATTTACAGTCATCCTTCTTTTTTGCCATTGCTTTGACAAAAAGGCAATCATAGTAACACTTGATAAAATTTGTGTGTTTTTGGAGAAATGAAGTAAATAGAAATTATTCTTCATGTAACATTACTGGTAAATACAAAAGTAAAAGCAATCAACCTGTCAAAGATTCCCCCGAAGTTCAGCAAATAACATTAGAATTTTGCAGATCAATTATCTTGATATAGATAGTAAGAAATGATTGGATCTTGAGGAAAAAATTATGTTTTCATCAAATATATGTAGAATACTGCCATATATTTTGTTCCAAAATTACTTATTTTCCTGAATTCTTTAAATTACACGTCCTAAAAGTGTCTGTGCTAGCAGTAAAGCGTAGGGACACAGAATGCTAAAACCCAAAACTATTAATTTAAGTCCATGTATTTTAAGTATTGGCTTTAAGAATTGACTTAAGTGGTATTTTAAAATGTATGAAGTTTGTATGTTGTTCTTTCAGTTAATGTTACTGTTTAAAATGTGCTTGAACTGGCGAAAGCTGCTATCAGAACAAGAATTTCTATGCCAAAATTCACCAGTGCTAAGTTTTTATCTTGGGATTCCATTTAGCTTCTGTAATTATGTTGAATGCAATTAGTATTAGCTGACACTCTCATTTCCAGCAATTCCTCCTCCAGCAATTTTCTCCCCCCTTTTTGGTTAGAACTCTCCTGGGTCATAGAAAATGCCTGAAAAATGGAGAAAAACAAGTAGGGAAAGTTGTGCAAAGTGGTGTGACGCTGCCTGTATGCCTGCGTTTAGTGGAAAAAAACTTCTCAGCCATTGTACATAGCAAATAAGTGGTATCTGACAATCCTGTCTTCTGCTTGAAGTCTCCTGAAAGTACCACTAGGGTTACTGCTTTGTGAAAGAAACCCCATTGTTTAAGGACACCAGAAAAGATCCATTCATGCAGTTGTTTACAACATATATTTCCAATTTCTCCCTGTGTTCTGTTTTTCCAGCCTTCTGTAGAAAGAAGAAAAAAAGATTTTTGATGAATATCCTATCAGTAAAGGCACTTATGTTAACAACTTCTGAACATTTTATACAGTTTTTAAAAAGTTTCTGAAGGTCCAGTGGTTGCACAGAAAGTTTTGTCTCTCAAAACAGGAGGGCAGAGCCACACTGCTTCTTTATTCTGTTATTTTTGAGATGTGTATAGCTTGTGTTTGGCTGTACATGCTGATTGGCATGTTCCTTGGCAACAAATTTACTTCTGGTCCTGCTTCAACCATTTGTGTATCTGCTGTTAACTTCTTCTTTATGCTTCTTTTAAGTTGATTTTAACAAAATCTTTAAATGTAACAAAATCCTCTATTCACAAATCCAAGCACCAGATGTGTCAAACAAGCAAACTAGAGAGACAAGTTATGTCTCCTTGACAAATAATTTTGCTTCATGGAAGACATTGCAGTGAAATCTTCGTGGAAGACTTTCTACTTCAGTGCTAACTCTTTAAGAAACAAATTAATGATTCCAATATAACCTATAATGTTTTTAGTATTCACGTTGGAAAAGTTAACTCATTCCTTCAAGAATAGCACCTTTAACCACTGCCATATGCTAGAGTGTTTGTTGAAATGTAAAGTGTACAAGAAAGAAGCTTGTCCATCAGAGGAGGAACATTTACAGCTCAGAGAAATATCTTCTCAAATGTTAGTGTTGCAAATGGTAGAATAACAAAACGATTTTTAGGAAGGCCTCAACACGCTGTGTTTTACTATTTTACAGTAATTTTTCCACAACTTACAGAAAATTGTTTTCCAATTCTTCATTTGCTAAGAACCACTGTAAAAAGGTTTCTGATGTGCCAAACAAGCAAAGGCAAATAGGCTGTCATTACCTCTTGACATCAGTTTAGGCAACAGTTTCTTTCACATATAACAGTATAGATGCCATTCAATAACT